CTCCTGCGTGTGTGTGTAAACTGCCCCGCCCCCTCGCAAGCAGGCGGGGGAGAGATCGCTCGTCTGAATTCGGAAGATCGAAAATACATTATAGACGCATTTTGTAGTCATATTGCATATTAGAAACTGAGTTGGCGACACTAAGACTGCGATATAATGTTTATGTAGCAATAATACATAACATATGTTTTTAAATGTCTCCTGTACCGATACAAAAGAGCGATAACGTTGAAGCTTAACGGGGTGTAGAACACATGTGATGACGTCACCAACGAATCGACGACTGAATTAGTTGCCAACTAATTTGGTAATCGATTTTAATCGATTAAGTCGATTAGTTGTTGCACCCCTAGTTGATATAATGTCTTTATGTCTTTATTAGGATCCCCACTAGCACTAGCATGAGCATTGGATATTGGATATAATGAAATAGCCTGCAGGCCTTAATTAAGTAGTTGGCTGTTTGGTGCTTATAGAAAGATCTGCGGTTTTATGATGAGTCTAACAGAGCAGCGTCAACCTTCAGTGCAATCCTATCAGACCAAAGCCACTGACTGTTAGCATAATTACTGTGGACTGCATTTGGCCACGTACTCACATCATGGGCGAACTGATATGGCACCAGCCAGGTAATGAGCTGTCCCATCACCTCGGCCTGGTAATATATTCCCTTGATGGAGATGAACACCTATGAAGAACAGACATGTGATTAGATCGTTACAGAACGGAGGTCAATGAACTCAAGAGATATCAATTTAAACCCCCCCCCCCCATTTCATTTTTATGTTTACTCAAAACAAAGTACGAGGGTTTACAGTAGTGTCGCACCTTTCTGAGAGAACGGGATGCGATGACATAGTTCATCCACTCCACAGTGAGGCGCCTGCACAGCGTGATTGTCTGAACGTGGCACTTTCCTGTTCGGGCGAAAGTGGAGAAGAGGAAGCACATGCAGAGGGCATCGTCGACGTCACGGAGAGCATCGATGAAGGACGGGTACCTGCCACAAAAAGGAGAACCAGTGAGGAGACAGAACCTCTTAAACGTTTTTTTATTTTAAATAAGCTAAATGAAATACTGCGGACATGCCACTCTTTATATTCTGTAGTTATACAAAAGCTGATGCTCTCTACTTTGAATGGATATGAAGAATCATGTAAGCTCAACAGTGCCCTCCGGTGTTGAGGGTGCAGGTTAACACGCTCTCACCTTTCTTTGACGATGTGGTCCAGTTTATATGTCGGCTTGTTCTCCTTCAGTCTCTGCACATTAGTATATTCTGTTTTTCCATAAGCCTTCTTAAGTTTGCGTACAAATACCTGTTGAGAAAAAACACTTCGGGAATGAGACACCGTTTACAGAAAAAACAATATATTAACATTTCTATAACTTTCACAAAAGTAAAAAACAGACTAAAACTTTCAAACGGTTCAATTACAATTTTTCCCCAATTATACTAGTGAATATAAGCCTGTTGACAAGATGGTGACATTTTGAACATCTGAAAAATATGTGGTGATACCTTGTAGTCTCTGAACTTGCCAACAATTGGCTCGTGCAGAAGAAAGCGGATGTCTTTGAGCAGGTAGAAGGTCCTCGGGGCTGTAGATCCCTTGTTCACCTTCTTCTTGTGCTTGGGCTCATGAGGGTAGATGCCTTTAAGGATGCACAGTCGCCTGGAAATCACAGAGATCAGGAAGAATGTGTCTGTGAATGCCTGGTCTTTAGGAATGACGTCATGCCATGTTCAATGGTAGGTTTAGGTGTTGTATATGTTAGAGCTTATTTCTTTGATGATAGTCAAATGAATGGTTAAGAATTTGAGAAGAGTTGTCTGGGCCATTATTAAACAAATCTAACAATTTGCTGACTCTGAAATATGTTAACCTTATGCTTTTCTCTAGATTAACTTATTCAGATTAAAGATAGAAATAAAGAAAATCAGTGTCTATAGTAAAAATATGAATTTGTCGAAGAATTAAGGAACAGAGAATACAAGTCACAGGTGAAAACTAACGTTGAAAACTATTTTTGGCAAGGGCCGACATTAGTAAAAAACCATCTGAGGTAGAAGTTCCCTGGTTATTTCTGGTTGTTTATTTCGTCTATAAACTAGTTTCAAATTGAATATTCAGTTATTTCACTAACCCAGTAATAACTAAGGGACTAACTGAAGCTCATCCCTTCATAAAGCCTGATTTGTTGAGTTTTTGTGGTTTTAAAGAGATGTTTACTCAACACAATGGCTGCTGTTTATGGCCCTGTTGGCCAGAGTCAGGTAATGCGTTATATTGAGAGGTCCTTCTTATATTTTGTCCACCATTGATATAAATACGGTTGAAAAAAATAACTTATTTTGTTTTTCAGTGTGTTTATATATGTAGTGAGGGAATGTGTATTGCGAATCTTCGCATTTGTATATTTGGGACGTTTTTTTAAAACATTTGATGTCATTTTAATGCAAACTCAACTTAGTCAATAACTAACTATAGCTACCAAAATGACTATGAACTTAAATCAACACCAAATTAAAACAAAACTGAACATTATAACCTTTATCAAAGTAAGATTTAATAAAGGTATACATTAATGTAAACCTAATAAACCGGGAATTGAGAGTATATATTCAAACACATGCACCATGATGCATGAACAGTGCGGTTACCTGAAGTCTGGGAGGCTCAGCGATAACTTCTTGCGAGCTTTGTTTCTGGTGATGTAGTTGGTGACAGAGCCCCTCTCATACTGAAAAAACCAGGACAGACGATCACATTAAATCATCACAAGTAAAAAGCAATTAACTGAATGCTTTGATATTAAAACGTTGATCTACAAAGAACCGATTTCACGATTTCAGTGAAACAAACTTTAGCTTCGTTAGCTAACTAGCTAACCAGGTTGCTATAGTTATTAAAGTGCATGGCTTTGACAATATCCCGAAGTCAACTCTTACCTTTTTCTTTTGAGTACCTCCCATTTAGAAGTGATATGTGGCCCTACAAACAAGTGTAGGTAAATCTAAATGTATATAAATTAAGCTGTTAAGACAAACACAGCAACAGCTACCGAGACCAGCAGCCAATGCACGTGTTGTTTGACATGCGCGGAGGAAGTGCTGCGAGAAGGAACTAGGACCCAGCGTGAGGGGGTGGCCGTTTGTCCGCCTGTGTAAAAAAGATAAGAAACAATGAAGTGAATACAGTGAATAATATATATAAAACAGTGACAAAAGAGCTTGGGTTTACCTATCCATCTATCTATCTATCTATCTATCTATCTATCTATCTATCTATCTATCTATCTATCTATCTATCTATCTATCTATCTCTATCTATATCTATCTATCTATATCTATCTATCTATCTATCTATCTATCGTTTATTATAGCTTACTCCAATAATTAAAAGTCCTGCCTTTAAAAATATATATATATATATTTGATGATTATTTGTTATTTCATTCATCAAAATGTCCATACATTATTTTCAAAAACAGTGTTTCATGTAAATTAATCTGCAGAACTGTAAACAGTTTGTTTAGATCTTAAGTTTGATCAGCTGTAAATATCATGAAAGCTGAACAATCATCAGAATAAACAGACGTAAAATGAAAGGCATGAAGGCTGGACTCCACCCCCTTCTCCTCTGCCTCTCTGTACAGCTTGAGAGAGATGCAGATGGAGCTGAGCAGGATCAGGGAGTGAGAAATAAAGAGAGAGAAATAAACAGCTTGATACAAAGAGACTGCATCATAGAGAAATACGACTTCAAAAGGACATCTCAGAATATGTGTGAACTATTTCACAAGTTCATGATGGGGCTTCGTGACTTTGTAAAGGATTATTTTCTTGGTTTCTGGGACTATGAGACACCAAAGGTGATGGTGGTTAAAAACAAAACTCTTGGAGTGATATACAGAGGCGTTCAGTTTCTTGTGATCACCTATTTCATCTGGTAAGCTTCATGTTTGTGTACTTGAAAGCCCTGTGTATGAGCTAAAGGGACTATTTAAGAAACCAAAAAGCTTTCTAAATATTATGTTAACATGTTTTTGTTTTAATGTTTCTTTTAGTGTGTAAAAGAGTGAATATGGATAAAACATGTGCTCTGACTTTAAATTCTCTAACCCATCAATTGCAGTTGTGTGGCAAGGAAATTATTCTGGATACAAATAAATAATACAAAGAGAGACGCAATTAATGGGTTCGGGAATTTAGGTCTCTATGGGGTCTCTCTGTCCTTTACTAGACGTGTAATTTGAACTGAGAGCAGTTTCCATAGGTTAGATTGATTGATTGATTTTATGAATTTGTTCTTGTTTCAAATCGTAAACTATATCTTATATTTCTTGATTTTTATTATTAGAGTGCCTCATCTTTTTGAACAGTTTGAACAGATCTAGGGGAAATGTGATACCTCTAACATAAATCGACGTCATGACAGAAAATGTGATATTGCATCTGTCTATTCTATCATCCTGAAGGTATGTCTTCATAAGTGAGAAAGCCTACCAAGAGAGTGAAACCCGTCCAGAGAGCTCAGTTTACACACTAATGAAAGGCACTGCAGTTCATGGAGATGATATCTTAGACACTGTGGAGTACGTTCGACCCTCAGAGGTAAGTCCAAATTCTCCAATACAGTTAATGATTTTCCACCTCCTGAACTCCGTCTGCATCGTTATGTCCTACTGCCGATGAATTTGGCATTTTCCTCACAGGGCGGTGATGTGATTAGTACAATATTGAGAAGAGAAGTAACCTATGATCAGAAGCAAGGAACCTGTGCTGAGGTGAGAGATCAACAGGAACTTTCTCAATGAAATTGTATGCAAGACAAAGCTATAATCTGTTTTATTCTATTTAGCATTTCATGGTTGCCAATGCCAACTGTACAAGAGACAGTGAATGTGTCCAGGGGGAGGTTGACTTTGACGGCCATGGTACTTTTTTTACTCCTCACAAAACTTTCCTCCAAGCTTCATTGATCGTTCTTTTCCACAGTCTGTTTTTTTATATTTTCTTACAGGAAGAAGGACCGGCAGATGTGTTCAGTACTACAACCACACCTTCAAAACTTGTGAGATCCAAACATGGTGTCCTATTGAGCGGTACGCTGTTGTAAGGTAAGGCAGATGATGGATTATCCTCCCAAAGGTTGTCCCAAGTAGGTTTATTTACAATCAAATTAACCGTCACTCATAAACAAGTTAAGAAAAATGTAAATACAGGTATGGTGAAAGGCTCGACAAAGCTATAGCTAATACTGGGATTGCCTGTGGTGCACACCTATGCAAATAATTAAACACATGTCTAATAAAGGTTTAAGACAGCATTTGGCCTTTGAATTTGAATGGAATCTAATGTGAAACTGTGGAAAACTATACTATAAAACTAAAAGAAACAGATTTTCTACTACACAAAACTATGATTTTGATTTGTTTGTCCTCAGAGAACCGGCATTAGTGGAGGCCATCAATTTTACAGTGTTCATCAGGAATTCTATCCACTTCCCCGGATTCAAAGTGCTGAGGTAAAGCAAACACAAACACACACACGCACACGCACACGCACACACACACACACACACACACACACACACACACACATACAAATGTTCTTGTATCTTGCAGGGGAAATATAAAAGATATTTCAAACCCAAAGGAAATGCGGAGATTCCTCAACAAGTGTCATTATGATAAGGAGACAAACCCGTACTGTCCAAACTTTCGCCTGGGCTACATCGCAGCTCAGGCTAGGGAGGACTTCAGTGAGCTCTGCAAGACTGTGAGTATAAAATATCTGCTTTTACTTGTTTTTTTAAACAACACATACTGCCTCTTTGATACAGTATCTCAGATAGACCACTCACCCCTAAATACAATATAGATATAGTTCCTCTTACCTGTACTTATCAGTCACAATTGTTTTGGTGGTAGTTGCAGAGAATTCGAGACATTGGCAGAAGAGGTGTCTTGGTTATCTCAAATGTAATAGAAAAACAATGGTACAGGTAAAAGGAAAAAAATAAGTAATATTGATTTTGGGATTAGAAAGGACCTACTTGGTGATAGTGTAGTATTACTTAAGATATGACTAATGCTGTTGTTGCACAGGGAGGAGTGATTGGGGTGTTCATTAACTGGAACTGTAACCTGGACCTGGATTATTCATACTGTCAACCAACGTATTCCTTCCGTCGTCTTGATCTTCGAAAGGACCAGGAAAGCTCTGGTTACTATTACAGGTGAGCTCAAACAACTAACATATTTAAAACTAAGCATGTGCTAAGTTTCTCAGCGTTTGTAATTTCTGTATAACTACAGGTTTGCCAAATACTACAGTAGAGAAGGGGTAGAGTCCCGGACGCTCATTAAGGCCTACGGTATCCGTCTGGATGTCATAGTTCATGGACATGTGAGTGACAGATGCTCCATCATCACCTACGTTTATTTTCAGTTTAACATGGTGACTGTCTTTCTTGTTCTGTCTTTTTTTCATGTACTTTCTTTTTCAGGCTGGTAAATTCAGTCCCATCCCAACCATCATCAGCACAGTGACTGCCATGACTTCAGTTGGCATCGTAAGTATTTTACATTAAGACTTTAAAGTTGAAGCTTTCCTAATTTTCACCACAAACTGTTTTTTCTTCTTATGTCACACCTTCAGTGTACCATTATCTGTGACTGGATCATGCTGACATTTATTGACAAGAATGAAGTCTACAGTGACAGAAAATTTGATGAGGTAAGTAAAAGGCATCATTTCTTGAACCTCAACACGTGTCGATGTCAAAGGTTTTATTTTCTCACTAAAGTAGCTAAGAATCCTTAACTCAGTTATATTTTATTTTGGGCATGACTAAATGTATTGTTATCAGCTGCAACAGTTTCAGGGTCCTGATACTGTGCATGGTGGCTCTCTAAGTATACGTCTGTCCTCTGCAGGTCATCAAGGAGCCAACAGTGCCCAAAGCCTCAGAGCTCGGCTTCATCAACAGCTACGGCTCAAACCACTCAGACCTGTCGGAGGGTGTACAGCTGTAAAGTCCACCGTTGCCTCAGTCTTCGCTGGCCCAGAGTCTGGACTCTCCTGCATCAGCTGACTGCGGCAACAACAGCACATCTGAGCGTCTCCTCAGACGTTTGCAGCAGCTCAGTTATGGGCTGCTAGTGGTTGCTGTTGTTAGAGGGAACAAACAGTGACAGAGGGCATCATCTGAAAGACGTCTCGTCCTCTCAAAGTCCCTGCCTGTGCATTGGATTCAGCTCATATATCACACCCTGATGGACCCCAACGTGCGACAATCCAATTAGTAGTTTCTATTTCACTTGACCTGACTTGCATCAAAACCATTTAGACAATGTGTCTATTAAAAATAAACTTTTAGCATAGCAGAGACAAACCTTACAAACAGCAGATTTATATCAATGTATCGTTGACATTCAGTGCAATAAATGTCTTCTATCAACTCAAGTTTGGACTTTATATTACTAACAGTATACCAAAAAACACTGACAATTGTTTCTTACAAAAATAAAACTGCATGCCATGTTTGAGAAATATAAATATTCGTTGCCTTTGTCTTTCAACCTGATGGGTTCAGCATCACGATAGATACAGGAGGAAACATCCAGGAGACTTGCAAGGAGAACGATGAGCAGTAATCTAATAACATGGACATTTCCCATAAAATGGTTTCTCTAACAAGATTGTGGGGAAGTGTGAATCCATCTGGACGCTTGAGAGCAATACAAATGTCAGTGGTGAAAAATGACTTGAATGGATCGATATCCGCTGTGTTGGTTAGAGGAGCACAATGGAGGGTCACATGTCAGATGGAAAATGTGTTTATGACATGTAAAGTGCTGAAGATTCATAAAATGTTTTATCTCAAAGATCGTTGTGTCAATATATTTAATCACATGGCTCAATAACTGCCGTCTGATCCAAGATATTTTATTAATTGAAAATGTTTAAGGGGCCCTATTATGCTTTTTGGGGCTTTCCATTTCCTGTAGTGTATTTGATAGGTTTTTGTGCATGTTAATGGTCTGCAAAGGCTAACATCCCAAAGTTCCCTTTGTTTCTCTCCCACACCATCTCACCCTGCCCTTCTTTGTTAACATGGTGACTTCACTATGTAACACTTGCGCTGCTATTGGCTAACGCTCCAACACATTGTCCAACACATGTCAAAAGCGGTTGACTAATAACAACTGAGCCGGCCAGCTAACCAATCAGAGCAGACTGAGCTCTGGTTTCAGACGGAGGGTGAAAAGAGGTGCTGCAGAACTGGCAGTATAAAGACCATTTTGAACATTAAAGCATGTAAAGATGTGAGATTAGAGGCACAGAAGCTAATATGAACCTGAAAATTAGCATAATAGGGTCCCTTTAATATTTAAGTCACAAGCCTTCTATGTGGTCCTTTGTCCCTCAAACTGCATATCCAGCATGTGTCAGTGAGCAGCTCTTAAAAGTCAATCTAATTGTGCCTCAGATTAGAGACTGAAATGTAATTACTTGTCTGAGAAAGGCCCATCAGCAGGCAAAGTGAGTCATCCGGGGGGCAATGAAAGTGATGGTGGTGCATGGGCTAAGATCATTGGGATCTGGACCAGCTCACAGTAATCACTAAATGATGTTTAGACATTCAATACCACTAAAAAACGTTCCAGATATGTTGACATGATGACATCACTGTGAAAATTGCTTAAAAATCCTAAAACTCTTTACCAGATGAAGCCTTTGCACAATAACTACTCAAACATAAGAAAGAAGATAATAAAAACAGAAAAACAAAAACTATATTCATAACCGCCACGCCAAAAAATGAAATGTCTAACGTCTATTATTGGGAATTCACATAATAAACGCGATTCTCAGAGCAGGTCAAGCCGCAACAGACACACTATCAGCCAAGTGAGGAGGAAGTGGTGTCTGCTGGGTAATGAAGGTCTCCAGAGTAGATGGCACACAGGATGTTTATGCTTTATCCTTTGCGGCTTGCATTTTTAGAAGTAAAACATTCAAACACAGTTGAAACATTTGGAAAAATATTTATTAACAATCATAAAAATGTAAATCACAAACATACATCATTTTATTTTGGCATAATAAAAAGGCATTAAACATATTTACAGTCCAGATATTTCTCCTTAACAGTGTCTTGGTAACAAAGAATCACAACAAACATCGTGAAGGCGGATATACAAGTGCATTAACTGGAAACATTTGAGTGTTTTCCAGATGGAGAAGAAGCTGCCACAGATGCAGCAGACGGAGTGTTGGATGTCACATTCAGAGAGCGCTCTGGCTGATCTGTGGGCTCATGACGAGCAGCCAGTCGATCGTCTCCTCCAGGTAGCTCATGCTGTAGTGGGATGCGATATTCCGAAACACCGTGATCTGATCAAAGAGGCTCTTTAAAATGAAAGAAAGGGGGTAAAAACAGCTGTGAGAACAATGTTTGATTGGAACAACCATATGCTTTCATCAGTTTACTGAATTGATTGATTGATAGAGAGTAGAAACCTTGGCTGAGAAGGTGAGGATGAAGTCTCCGGCACATTTGCAGTACAGCGGCATGTTTGCTTCCTTCACTCCTTTACATTTGGTGCACACCTAAAATCAAACAGAGGTTTTAGCATAATGGAAACTTCAGGGAAATTATTATTGGATGTTGTACAACAGATGATGACCATTAATGAATTCTTAACTATCAACATTAGCACGTCAAATGTGTTGATAACGATGGTATCTATTCAAACGAGTGGTTCAGAAATCAATAACAGTATCGGAAATGCCTCGCATACAGAAAGTCTACGCACTGATCGGCATTATGTCATCATATCATTTATCCGCAAATGTATGCCATAAAAGAACAACAACGACTCTCACAGGAGACGGGAAAGAAGCGAGACGGCTCACTCATAAGCAAGTTTCATCATTACTTGCGGTTAAAACAATTACTGTTTGAAATCAATGATGGAAGCAGCTAATGTGTGAGCCATGCAGCTTTCTATTTCCTTCTCATTTCTTGTGTGTGAGTCAGTGTTACATAAGTGCAATATTTATGGTAAAGTTTTATAGAATTTGTTCTCTGTATGCTTTTGTTCATGTTTTATAAAGGGTTAAACCAGGTCATAACAATCAACAATGAAAGCCATTATATCACATCCACACATGGTTAGTAGCAAACAGCTATATAATCAAATATATGGTTTTTAAATGTGACACTATCCAAACAAAACTGGGTTTTAGTGATACCTAAGTTAAGGTATTAGAAAGTGAAAAATGGTGCTGGAACATCTCTTTGCTCCGTCCTAACTACGGCAACATCTTTAAAAATGTAGTTTTATTTAGATCTCTTTGAATGTGCCTTTATTTCATAGTTACAGTAAATATACTGACATGAAGCATGGGAGAGAAATAGGGGGATGACATCCAACAAAGGCAACACATTAGGGTTTATGGTACATGTATTAACTTCTAGGACAACACTTAAAACTGGTTAGGATGTTATATCAATTCATTACACTATCTTTACTCACCAGATCCTGCAGTGTGTAGCTCATCATTTTCTTCTGCAGAGCTTCCACCAGAGCCATCTCAATAGACTCAGTGTCATACTGCGTCTGGCAGTTTGAGCAGAACCACTGAGGCAAGACGGACCCATCCTGAGGAGAGGAGAGCAGTTTTCTGACTGGTATTTCATACATTAATATCAAGCGGGTGCAAAATGCCGCAGCAAGGCTTTTTAACTGGCACACGGAAATATGACCACATTTCCCCCATTTTGGCTTTCGCTCCACTGGCTGCCATTACATTTTAGGATTCATTTCAAAATCCTTTTATTTATTTTAAATCCCTAAATGGCATGACCCCACCATATCTTTCTGAGCTGCCCTTACACGCCCCACCGCCCTCTCAGGTCAGCGGATCAACTGCTCCTGAATGTGCCCAGAACCAGGTCAAAGCTCAGAGGGGGCCGTTGCTTCTCTGTAGCAGCTCCCACACTGTGGAACGATCTGCCCCTGCACATCAGACAGGCCTCCACCCTGCCTGCTTTTAAATCGCTTCTTAAAACCCACCTCTTCTCCTTAGCGTATTCACATCCTTTAGAGTGTTGCTTTTATTGCTTTTAAATCAGGGGTGTCAAACTCAATTTCATCACGGCCACGTTCGCATTATGGCTGCACTCAAAGGGCCGGTTGTAACTTTAAGACTATATAAAAATAAACATATAAATATTTAAT